TAAACAATCTAAGTGGTTGATTGCTTAGCAAATGGTGGAGCTGAGAGGGAGAAATGCCTCGGGTTTCCTTTTTGAGCATTCACAAACACTTCAGAGATGATTTTTCCTCCCCAGACAGACTTGGAACAGTCTCTAATAGATACTTTCCATATAGGGAGGGCTAAGAGAAAGCTAAAGAGGGTGTGGAAGTCAGGTAGCTCTGGGAATCCATGTAAGTAATTCCATTGTACTTTACAATGAAAGTTACTTTATAGGAAGGTCAGTACTGAGTGATTGGGGGTTATTTTTGCATAGAGGTGAATTGATAAGGAGGAAGTCAGATCCAGCTGAAAGGGGGAGCTGGAAAACATAGCGTATGGACAGTGGAGACAAGTCAGCACTGTCAGAGAGATGAGGAGGGTCCATGAGCTCTGGAGAATCCAGTTTGGATACTGGAAGGAGTCTAAGGGGAAAAACCCAAACCACCTTTTGCTAATCAAAGCCCTTCAGCCCTTCCCTCACTCTCTCCCTCGTTCCCCGTGCCCCTCAGATTCTCCAGGAGTGTCAGCTCTGGCTTTCCAGAGGGTGTTGTGTACTTTTTGATCTCCAGGAGCAGGAGAGTGATGGAGCTGATTCATCCTGAGATGAGAAGACTTTCCATACACAGGAGCAAACACAGAGGCTGCAAAGAGAAAACTGCTGCAGCAGAACCTAGTTTTGTAGATACTTAAAAGTTAGTTTGGGATGATCTAGTTGTTTACAGCAGATACTGGTTGTTTCAACACCGTAAGTTTACTCTGTCTCATTTTTATGGAACTTTTGACCATACACAGTGCCTTTTGTTACTCATTTTGCCCTGCCAAAGCTCTTTCCTAGAGACCAGTGGCTCCAGCAAGAGCCTGACCTGGAGGAGTGTTTTTTTTACAGTTAGGGGAGTCAATATATTACCAGGTAAATGTGGAAGCATGAGAAACTAATTGGATTTATGTTAATTTCATTGGCTATAAGTGCATAAGCTCTTCATCTCACTTCCAGCCCTGTGCAGACAAATTACATGTGGTGCTCAGGGTTTTTTGGATGATCCATCTTAGTCCTTACTCCTGATGGTGAGCTGCTTGTGATCCTTTGAGCTCCAGAGAGACAGGTCTTGCAGTCACATGTCAGTGTAGGTTTGGCTGTGGAGACTCACGGGATGATGCCTTGGCTGAGGAGTTGTTCTCCTGTGCAGTCAGAAGCTGCAGAATGATCACCCCTGTAAGCTGTAACCCCTCTGAGGAGGTTCTGAGCTTTGGAGCGTGACCTCGTGTCCTGGCAGTGATGGACTGGGAACCTACAGGGTCATTGTCTGAAGCACAGTGTCTCCTCTTGCACACCTTTACCTGCCCTCAGACTGTTCATTTCCCAGCTGCAGTGGGAATGCAGAAACTCCATGGGTCCTATACCCTGTAAAGGCAGGAGGTGGAGGAGGCTTTAAGGACCTTGAATCCTGCTTTTAAGGAGTTGTATCCGTTTCTGAGCTGCATTTGGGCTTTCCCTCCAGTGCTGGGTAAGAATCCCCTGTGTGTAACACATCAGGCTGGGGTTAGGCTCCAGTCACTGGCACATTCCTGCAGGTATGGATGCAGAATTCCTCCAGGCTCCAATGGGAGCCTGTCTTCAGCCTGTAAAATTAGATTGCCTGACAATCTGTAGTAGTGCTGTCACAGGAGACAAAAGGCAGAAAGCTGAACCTGCAGCAGAAATCTGACACGAGGCAGGTACTCCAATCAAGCCTCATTAGTACATCTCTTTCAAGACAGTCGTCATTTCCTTTATCATTTTCTGAATTACCATAATGGGGATTAATTTGGCTTCCAGCTTGCCTTACACTGCACACAAAAGGCTTGTTGTCAAACTCTTTGGAGCACCTAAGTTCAGGCAGAGGTCAGGAGACACAAACCTGTGTGCTGCTGCGGAGAAATGGAGAGAGGAAGAGTGTTTGAGGCACTCTTGGCTTGGCTTTGAGGCTGCAGTGGCCTCCTCAGGGCATGGGTGTCTCGCTGGTGTCGGAGCCTCTGAACAGCAGGAGCTAGGGGAGAAGGTCGTGCAGCTGTACAGGTTGTGCTCTGGAGGTGAATGCCTGTGGCTGCCAGTGGAGGTAAAAATACATTTGTAGGCAGAGGCACCTAAAATCACAGGAAGGTTTTGGGAAGCAAAGAGCTTTGAGGTAGATTTGTGCAAAGCTTTCCCAAGGTCACTTAAGGATAGGAGAGAGGATGTTTGAATGAGCAGAAGAGATGTAGTGGTCAAAAAAGGGTGAAAATGATGTGATGCTCAGGAAGAGGGGAGAGAGGATGTTTGAATGAGCAGAGGAGATGTAGTGGTCAAAAAAGAGTGAAAATGATGTGATGCTCAGGAAGAGTACAAGGTGGGGATGAAGCAGGAGGGAAGGAATTCTCCTTGGATGTAGAAATTTATGGTTACCTCTCTTGCAGACACCTGGAAGGGCAGTTGTTAGCATCTGATCCCATTAGCTGTTCTGCTTTGTCCCTCCCTGCTCACAGTGCCTGTTTTTCCCTCTCCCCCCAGACTGCCACCCTTTGTGCCATCAGTGTGTGGCCAACCTGAGGGACACTGGCAGCATCTGCCTCAAGTGCCAGAACGCCCGGCACCTGCTCCTGGGGGATCACTGCCTTCCTGAGTGCCCAGCGGGATACTACCCGGAGAATGGTGCCTGCCAAAGTGAGTGCTTCCTACAGAGCTGCAGGTAGCTATAGAAGAGCCTGGATGCATGTGACATGTCCCATGAAATGGTTCCTGTCCAGCAGGACACTGCACTGGGAGCAGAACTCTCTTCTCAGGGTGTTATGCAGCCTGAGGTGGAACATTGTCCTAGCTAAGGTCGGTCTCTCACCTAGGCTTGTCTTGCTGCAGTAATGGCCCAAAAGGT